GGGTAGAGAAGATGAAGGGGAGGATTTCCAGACGGGAGATTCTCAGGCAGAAGAATCACAAGGGGAGGTGATTGGGAGTGATTAGGAACAGCAGGAAAGTAGAAATCAAAAGGTTCTGGTTGGGTGGTGAAAGAGATTGTGAAAGAAAGAAAGAAAGAAAGAAAGAAAGAAAGAAAGAAAGAAAGAAGAAAATACAGTGTGAGTAGTGTGATCAGAGGACTCGTAAGATGGGCACAGCCGGGCAGAACATTCAGGACATGCGCCGCCTCTGTCTCACTCGCTTGCTGCACGCCCCTCCCCCTGCTGCTCCCCCCTTTCTCCCTCCCCCTTTCCCCCACTTCCTCCCCCCACCCTTTTCCCTTCCCTTCACCCTCTCTGCAGCCACTGCACCCGTGCCTGCTGCCCCAAGCCTCCCGCCGAGCCTCAGTGGTGCGAGCAACAAACCCGCACCACTTCACTCTCGGGGGGGTGCGGTTCCTGGGCACAGCCGGGCAGAACATTCAAGACATGCGCCGCCTCTGCCTCACTCGCCTGCTCCACGCCCCTCCCCTTGCTGCTGCTGCAACTGATGCTGCTTCTGGTGCTGCTGTAAATGCTGAGACTGCTGCTGCTGCTGTTCCGATGGAGGGGGTGGAAAAGCAGGAGAGGGAGAAGGACGGGAAGGGAGATGAGAGAGAGGAGAGGGGGGACGAGGAGAAGAAGGATGGGGAGAAGGAGGAGGAGGCGGGTGTGCTGGATCTGATGCAGCGATGCTTGGAGTGGAGACACGTTGCTCCCAGTGCTCCTGACACGCTCGGTGAGGAGAGAGAAGGGGAGGGATAAAAAGGAAGGGGAGAGAAGGGAAGGGCAGGGAAGGGAAGGGGAGAGAAGGGAAGGGCAGGGAAGGGAAGGGGAGAGAAGGGAAGGGACGAGAAGGGAAGGGCAGGGAACGGAAGGGGAGAGAAGGAAAGGGCAGAGAAGGCAAGGGGAGAGAAGGAAAGAGCAGGGAATTGAAGAGGAGAGAAGTGCCCATGCTGTCGTTTTTTTCGCTCTCCGCTCATAATCTCCCTCCGTAATTATCCTCCTCTTCCTGCTGCGCGTTCTCTACCCCTCTCCCTGTTCCATCTGTCATCTACTCTAGTCCAATGCACAACCCCTCTTCCGCTCGCCACCTTCTCAATTGCCCGGCTTTACACCACCTTCCCTGTTCTGACCGCATCTGTCTCTCTCCTGTCCTGTGCCTCTCACTCATCTACCCGTTTCAACTGGACGACCCCGCCTTCTAAATGCCTAACATGCACCATCATCATTCCAAGTGCGACTCCTCTCCCTGCTCTCCCTGCTCTCCCTGCTCTCCCTGCCCTGCCCTGCCCTGCCCTGCCCTACCCTGCCCTGCCCCGCCCTGCCCTGCGCCCTGCAGGCGTGTACCCGTTTCAACTGGACGACCCCTTTGTCCTCACCACCTGATCTATTGCCTGTGCTCCGCATCATTGTTCTGATCACGCCCTGCCCTGCCCTGCGCCCCGCCCTGCCCTGCGCCCCTCAGGCGTGTACCCGTTCCAGCTGGACGACCCCTTTGTCCTCACCACCTGCCCACATGTCTTCTTTGCCGGCAACCAGCCTCGATTCGCCACTCGCCTTATCCGAGGTAGGGGACAGTCAAACGATCGCACATGCGGCCACAAAAGAGCTTGTTTGTGAGGTGCACCGAATGCGCGGGTCAGTTAGTTGATCATGCATGCTTGCAGAGATTGAGTTGCTCTTGAGAAGGCGGCTCAGGCATACATGTGTGATACATACATGGATGATACATTCATGTACAGAAAGGCTGATCATGGGAGCAACTTGTTCTTCATGCGTCTCCTCTCTTTGCCCTGTGATGCATCGTTATCTGCTGTGCTCTGATGCATCGTTATCTGCTGTGGTGTGTGCAGGTTCCCAGAAGCAGGTGGTGCGGCTGGTTGCTATTCCAAAGTTCTCCGAGACATGTCAAGCTGTGCTGGTGTGTGTGTGTGTGTGTGTGTGTGTGTGTGTGTGTGTGTGTGTGTTGGGGGTGGGGAGGGGGGGTGCGCATGTGTGCGTGCATGTGTGTGCGTGCGTGTGCGTGCATGTGTGTGTGTGTGTATGTGCTGCAGCTTGTGTGCTCTGTAGAGTGTGGGTGCTGTAGCTTCCTTGCCCGTACACAAGCATCTCCTGATGCCTTTAGTTTGCTTTTTCACAACCTGTGTTATTCCCTGGTTTTCTCCCCATCCACTTTCCTGCCTGCGGTATTCTTCCCCATCCCCCATCTGCCCTGTCCTTCCCCATCTTCCCCATCTCCCCCATCTCTCCCATCTGCCCTCTCCTTCCTCATTTTCCTTTCACAGGTGGATCTAGACACACTGGACTGCCGAGTGCTCTCAGTTGCCTGCCCTCCCTTCCCCTCCTCACCATCACACTCCTCATAGTCCTCGCCCACTCACCCTCCCAAACCCCCTTTACTGTCGCCCATGCCACCATTCTTTGTGTTGTACATCCATCATCCCGATATCCCCCGTCTTGTTGATCTCTTAATTACCATCATAGGTACGTGTTGATAATAACTGTCAGCATCTCATTTGCTTTACAAACGTGCTAAAGAAACATATGAAAAGCATGCATATGGGGATTACCAACTGTAGGGAAAGGGATGCGTTGAGTAAAGTGTTTCCCTTGTTTGTTAGCGAGTATGAATCCATTTGCAGAGGCCATACTACAGGCGCCCACCGATCCTTCTGAGCCGTTGCAGTGTACCCGTTACGGAACACATCGTTACATCTTTCGAAGGTAATTCACGCCATTTAGCTTCGACCGACTTGCCTCGTTGGCCGCTAGGGAGGCTGGGGGAGCGGGCTCGATGCCTCAGTCCTAACCTGCCCACTTGGTTTGGTTGGGTCTGAGTTTTGTTTTGTACTTCGGAAGCGTTTGCGTGTGGGCCTGGGAAGCCGAGCCGACTGTTCAGGCCACAAGCAGCTATGCAACTGTACTGTACACTATGTCGCAAAATTCTGTGGGGCGTGACAGGAAAACCACACCGCAGCCCTGGAATGGCCAAGTCGGCAATGCGGTCCGGGAGCAGGGAGATGTTACCCACATCGCAGACAGATGACGAAGTTCTTTTTCGAGTTCGTTGCTCTTTCGCATACGGGTTTCGAATATGGTCCGCATAGGTTCAAGCTTTGAACCGAATCTGCAAGAAGTTTCAGTATTGGGACTTCGGGCTCACATCGGATTTTTTCCCGCCACGAGACGCAAAGGCATCTCCGAAAGTGCAAGGTCAGATCAGGATCCGTTGGCGAACGTCAACGCACCCCAAACCAAACCAAGCGTTTTTGCGTCAGAGTGGCCCTTCGCCGACCACACTCATCAGTGTACAGTATCGTACAGTACTGCATTTGTGTACAAATGTTCTCGATTAGAGTCCCCGTGAAAAACACGCGCGCTGCGGGCCTTTGTGGAAACCTCACAAACCCCGGGCAAAAGGGAACTTATAGTCCCATATAAGGAAAATTGCATGAAAGGTGAATTGTCTTCGCTAGTAGTCGTGTTTTCCTGTCACATACGTACATTCGGACTACGCTGTCTTAAAATTCTCGTCGTACGATTCGCCGCGTTGATCAGTGTCGCAGGACAAACGGGCAGTTAAATACAAAATAAAATCATGTATAAGGCCAAAATGAAAGCCAGCATTTTCTGTTTTACACCGTAAGCGAGATTAGTTAGATGGTATCGTCGGAGCTCGCGGGGAACATCGCGACAGGATTTAGACACAAGCGCGATCAAGAGAAACAGACAATCATAACTGCAAAATCAAATAGTGAATCAGAACTTCCTCTTGTTTTATTTTCTGTAAATTTTCTGACTGGTTCGATTTGCGTCTTCTGATTGGCTGCGGAACTGATTCGTGCAATGATTCAGTCAAGATGCAAGATTTCCTGCCAAAAAGGGGACTGTAGAGGATGGGATACACCTAGGACTTATGTGAAAATTCTACTCGTTGGGGAAATGGGACTCTTTTAGGAAAGGCCTCTAAGCCAGAACATCTGTATCGGTGGTGGTGAGGTGAGGTGACTGGTGTGTGGTGTGAGGAGTCCCACCCAGTCACCACCACCACATGCGGAGACATCCATTAGATCGTCTGTTCGTGAGCGAAAGCAGTGGTGGGTCGGCGGCATGTCGTCGCTCTCTCGGCTTCCGAGTTAGAGGTTACAAGCAGGGGATTTCCAGGTTTTAACCAACTCCCGAATTGTCGTTAACCGACAGCTCCGCCGGCGGCGCCGGGAGCGACGCGACGCGACATAGTAGACTTCGTCGCTTCAATTTGGTTCCTCCCGGCTTCGGAATTTTGGGGTGACAGCGGGCTTTAATTCTCATCTGTGTATAATTATTCCTCGCAACGAGTGCGAAAGCCGCGACATCTCTCATCCGACGACTTAGGCAGCGCCGCGTCGACTATAGCATGTAGCAAGACTTTGTGTGCGGCGAGATCCCACACGAAACTCCGTTTTCTCCTCGTCGCCGTCTCTCCTCTTTAATTCCTTCCACGTAATCGTCACCTTTTAATTGTTTCGGGCTCGAAGGCCCCGCGGCGATAAGGCGGCCTCTGTTGTGACTCCTGCGGGCTTACACGAAGGGATTAAATTCAACTGCAACCCTTGCGCTTTGAACAACCCCCATGTTGGCCAGTGGTCTAGCGGGGCGCTACATGTATTGCCAGCGGTAGCAGGAACAGCAGCAGCATGCCCCGAAGGTCCAGGTGCTTTTGTTCAGTTTGCGAAAGTTTCGGCCGCAATCATTACATTGCGAGTTGAATGATGAGTTGAATGATCGTGGTGGTTTGGATACGCAATTTCCCCGCACAGACCAACCACGACATCGATTTTCGCAGCACTTATTTCAGTAGCAGAAGCAGCAGCGACCGCAGAAACAGCGACAGCAGCAGCAGCAGCGGTATCCACATTAACCCCATGATGGCGAGTCGCGTCACGCCCCCGGCTGTCGCCATGACCATCGCCGTCGCCATCGTCGCCCTCGCGGTGGTTTCGCCTCTTCCCTTCCTGCCAGGAACCCATGCGGCCAAGGTCAAAGCCTCTCAATGTAAGCATCTTTGAGTTTCCAGACGTCTCAAGCCTTCCCTTCCTGCGAGGATGTAACTCTTGCGGGGCTTACCCATAATGTAGCGTACTGGTACCAGAGCCCACGGTTCAAATCCCGGCTGGTCCACATTTTCCACGTTTAGCGATAACTTGAATGTGGTTACCAGATCGAACCCAGCGAACGATCCTCCGCTGGCTTGACGCCACCAGCCAAGTCGCAGACTTGCCTTTGAGAATTCTAAAAAGTGATTTCGCAGACTTGCCTTTGAGAATTCTAAAAAGTGATTTCGCAGACTTGCCTTTGAGAATTCTCAAAAGTGATATCGCGGACTTGCCTTTGAGAATTCTCAAAAGTGATTTCGCAGACTTGCCTTTGAGAATTCTCAAAAGTGATTTCGCAGACTTGCCCAGCGAAATTGAGGTCCCTGCTGGCCTGCGCGGGCCGACTTCCTGAAGTTTCTGAACCAACGTTCCAACGAGAACGTTGGTTGGCACGGCACCAGGGGGGGACGAGTGTAACGCCTGCGGGGCGGGGCTTACACGTAGGGTTGAGTGCGTCTGCTGCGCCTCAAAATACCTCCCTCGTTTCGACCCAGAGGGTAGCGAGGCATTATACAGGAACTCATTGGGGCAGGCTCAGAACCTCTCCCACGCTGCATCCCCCCCTGCTCTCTCCCTCACTCACGGCACCCCCAACTCCCCTCCCACGCCACACCCCCGCCTCTCCCTCCCACGCCTTTCAGGGACGAGCATCGAGTGGGGTGGATGCGCCACTCTCACCCTCCACTGCCTCCCTGCTTTGCGAGTACCACCACCCATCTCGTGCCCCCCTCCCGCTTCCCTCCCACTGCACTGCACTAGGTTCGTCTGGGGACCGTCCCTCCCTCACATGCAACTTGCAGTTGGTTGCATCCTTGCGTTGCGAGTACCCACATGTCGCCCTCTCTCTCCCTCATCGCACTCCAGGGTCGGTCCCCCTGGAGCTGAAGCGAGAGCGGGGCACGGCCCTTAGCAGCTGAAGCGAGAGCGGGCCACGTGCTTCCAGCCCTCTACGTTCCTGCTTTCCTCTGATGAACGTTCCTTCCATGTTCGATTCTTCCCTCCCTCCCTCCCTCCCTCCCTCTCCCTCGTTCCACGCCAGGGTCGGTCCTGCAGGTGCTGAAGCGGGAGTGGGGCGGGTTCGACGGCAGTGCGACGTGGTCCTCTGGCGCCAACTGTGAAAACGGGGGCATGGCTGGGATTGCCTGCACTGGCTTTGGCGACATCATCGCCATGTGAGTGGGTAGACTCAGTGACGTCCTGTTGACGCTCCTTCCATGCTCCTGAGGTGCCTCAGAAGAGAGTGAAGCGGGTTCGACGGCAGTGAGACCTGGTCTGGTCGTCTGGCACAGAACAGACAGACTGTGCTAATGCCATGCCATGCCAGCATGGCGTGGTGGGCCGGACCTTGCATGCACTGGCTTTGGCGACATCGTTGTGACTTTTGAGTCGACTCAAAAGTCTGGCACAGAACAGGCAGACTGTGCTAATGCCATACCATGCCAGCATGGCGGGCCTTGCATGCACTGGCTTTGGCGACATCGTTGCCATGTGAGTAGAGTGAGTGGCCGGTTGACTCAGTTCAGTGGTCACTGGCGGTGAGGCCCTCCTTTTGAGACGTCCTCTTGTGTCGATGTCTCGTCCTCTTGTGTCGATTTCTCGTCCTGCTGTGCTGCGGAAAGCTCACTGCGCTGATGTGTGACCCGTTTGTTACCCATGTGAGTCTCTGCGACTGCTAACTAAGGCCCCAAACAGTTGTGAGCCGAACCCAGCCCCCACCCACTGACCTCCTAAGCCCCCAGCATTCTCCAACAGCCTGTGCGCTGCCACGACCCTATCTTTGATTCGACTCAAAACCAGCCTGTGCGCTGCCACGACCCTAGGGAATAAGAAAATATCCAAGCCCAAATCGTACGAATGCCATGTTGTAATCTCCATGCTGTTCACTTACGATGCGAGCCAAGCCACCGCCAGCCAGCCAGCCTCCTGGTTCCACAAATCCACGCTATCATATTATCACCATCGCACCTTTTCACCATTGAAAATGAGGTGTCTTTTCAAGTCACTTTGTTTCATTGAAATGAAAACCCTGTGTTGTCATCACATCATCATCACCATTGCAACATTGCAACATCTGAAGACCTGGGGCCCCCATGAGACGAGCTTTCTTTCGCCATCCGTAGGCAGGGCCCTTGCCTGCGTGTTCTGCTTTTGAGGCGCCTCAAAAGCCGTCTCTCGTGTGCTGTGCTCTGCTTCTGTTCTTGTTTGTTTGTTACTTGCTTCCTTTTTCTCATACACTAGAAAATGCCTATCGCACCACCAGTTCCCGTCATCCCTGTCTGTCTGCCTGTCCGTTTTCTTGCCCCGC